CTTATTTCTAATACAAAACAACAAAAATATATATTTTTTAAATTACATCTTCAATTTCTTAAATATATTTGTATTGTTAAAATCATTCAAAGTATGTGATATATTTAGATCTAGACATCCAATTATAATTAATGTTAATTCCTATACTATACAACAATTACAAAACATGATAAAAGGTTATTTTTCTGGTTCCTAAGTATTTTAATTATGAAAAATGTTTAAAGTCAGTGCAACTTTGAAAAAAAAATAATATTTATGTATTTAAACATCTAGAATCATGTTTAAATTCCCTAAATTTATATAAGTGTCTACTTTTACAGTCTATTTTTAAATATTCCTATAATCACCTTTGTTTTAGTGTGCTTAATTCTTAGAGGTCATTATCGGAGTGATTACTTAAAGGGCCGGGCAAATAAAAGTCTAAGGTAAACAGATTTTTTTTTATTGTATACATTTTAAAACTTTTTTAAAGTCATTGTTCATTAAAGAGTCTATATTTTAAAATAACATCCAAATTTTTGCGATTACAGCAATCCATAAAAGAAAGATAAAAGAAATGCTTGTGTTTTTGAACCGGACCACATTTAGTTATTAGTTATGTCCTAGAGACACATCAGCAGCCTCACTGACATGTTCAAAGAAAGTCGTCTCCTGGCTACAACTATCTAATTGTTGGGCCCTAGTATAAACTATTTTATCCACATCTTTGTCAGTTTTTGCATCATTAACAGATGCTGCTGATATTTTCATTGAACATAAAAATAGTTCAAGAATTATCAGCTTGTATATATGTTATTAAGAATTGCATGAATGATGTAAGATATCGCATTTTCATGAAAAGTTATCCTGCTAAAGAAGTCAGTGAGCAGTTTCTTAAAAAGAATGACGAAAAAACCCCTCAGTCGCACATAATCAATCGCGACAACATTTCAGTTTTTAAAAATCGACAACCCTAATTTAGGACTGATTTATCGCAGGCAACCCTATACCATCGTGTTCGTAATTAAATAATCTTTATTTTCATTGAAATTTTATTAAATTACTAGAAGACCCGGCGAACTTCGTTTCGCCCTATAATCAAGAAATATCTGTTACGTTTTTTTATTTATATTTTTGGAGTTTACCTATTAAAGCCATAAATCTCCGTGTTTTGAAGTGATTAGGAATGATTAATAGTTAATATGAGAGTTACACTGAGCTAGCAAAATAATAATTGTCAACGTTACTACTACACTTGATGCACAAACAATAACGATGGCCGACAACTGTGTAGGGAGTGAGAGAAGTCTAATTGTGTGAGAGAAACAGAAGACCGGCTTCGTTCTCATCCCTACTCCGTGCTGTTTACTGGGTCAGAAGTGACACCTGTAGATATCTGGCGGGGATAACTTATTAAATGACGATTGATCAGTTATCGACCGGAGATGAAAAATGATTAAATTACTAAAATAGCTATTAAAAAATAAGGGTTCATCGTAGAAGGGTGAAAATTTATGATTGTATGTATTTTTGTACTTTGTATCATAAAAAAATAGTAATTAAAAATTTTGTCTAAAAAATAAAAAAAAAAAATTTAGGGGTGGACTACCCCTAACATTTAGGGGGATGAAAAATAGATGTTGGCCGATTCTCATAGCTACCGAATAAGCACAAAAAATTTCATCAAAATCGGTCAGGTTGTTTCGGAGGAGTATCGGCACGAAAACTGTGACACGAGAATTTTATATATTAGATTAGACCGGTGCAAAATGCTACTATCGATTTTCCTGATTATCCCTGGCAACTGCAGAGTTGTGACTGGAAAAGAATAGGCAACCTAACGTTTCCATATTCTATGGGCTTCATACTTTCGATTGGTATAGAATTTATCTAAAAGTCAAACAGGTAAAATATTTAAAATCAACTCATTGTTTTAATCATTAATTAATCATATCCTGGACAATAATTTATTAGGCAATCCATATGTAATATAATTATTGACATATTAAATAGAATATTAAATGTTTCATCAAATAACATCTCGGTGAAGATCGTTTTATATCGGGATCATATACTATTATACCTATATATTGACATTTCATTTTGCACTTTTCGACAGCTTTAAAGTTTGGCATTCGTAATTATTCGTAATTATAGCTGTTAACTGAACAAACCAAACTGTAATTTAAATTTTTTAACAACGTTCATCATTATTCATACCGGTGAATTAAAGATATCACAATATCATTTTCGGAGTAAATATAAAATAAGATTAAAAAGCTTATGTATTCATTAGGTATTTATAATTTTATATGTATATTTTTTTCGTGCTTGAATTTTAATGTCCAAAAATAAACATGTAAAACTACTAATATACTACACATAAGAGTTATGTTGTAATACCAATTTAATAAATTAGTTTATAGAGCGGCCTTGCTACAATTAATTTGTTCTTGTGTGTTGCACGCGATCAGATATAATTTAAATTAGTTATTACTTTTATCAATGCAAAATGCTTTGAACCATTTCTTTATCAGAATAAATTTGAAAAAGAAATATTAATAATGAATTGAATTTCAAATATATAAACACATTTTACCGTTATTGTAGAAAACATCAAAATAATAATTAATTAATTATAATGTTAATCAAAGATTATATTACGCAGGTATTTTAAGTACTTTCTGAACAATTTTCCTTACGAAATAAAATTAATTGTTTCATCATTATGGCTTAAGTAATATATTTGAAAACTACTATATGATTTTTAACAGCCTTATTGCAATTTCGTTTTTATAATAGGCCATTAAAACTCGTGTATCAAAACATCAGATCATTTGTTTTAAAGATTAAATTAAAATTGTATTATATTTCTCAGATCAGCAGATATGAACATACTTAGAAATAAATGGACATATCACTCAATATAATATCAATCAAAATAAACAGATGATGAACTTTGTTAACTCTTTATCATTACGTACAGATGACATTTAAACTTTAGAACATTTGCATATAATAATATTATATGGAGGGTAACGGAAAACTATTATAAAAACAGTTATAAAACTGAACGTAATTATTGCATTCAATCGAATCGATAGGCAAGTCCTTCTATACGACGAGTACTTCCTACATATATTTTATTCTTGAAACTTACTAAAAATTTATGAGATATATATAAAATAAGGATCATAACTTCAAGGAAGCAACTGTCGGTAAATGTATACTGACAACATTTATATATATATATATATATATATATATATATATATATATATATATATATATCTTATATCTTCTCTAGATGAGTCTATCTCTAGATGAGTGAGAGAGCCGGTTGCCCTTTCCCTATTCCCAACCTTTCCTACCAGTTCCCTTTTCCCTATTTTTCCCACTCTGTCCTCCCTTCTTCCTTAATCAAGGGTGGCAACAAATCTGCAAACTATGTTGCGGATGTCCATGCGCGATGGCCGCTACTACCCATCAAGTAGCTGACGGCTCGTTTGCCACCTTTCACATTAAAAAAAGTTACACCTGTATTCATTTGTTATATAATTTTATAAAGTCTTGAAATTTATTATAATTGACTAAACTTTATAAGTAGAAAGTAGAAGGAACTTAAACCTGCATTATAAAGTCCAAGTATTATATACAGTTATTGAAACAAATTTTAATTTTTTAATTTTTGGTTAAACGACTGTTTTATAACATTGGGACTACAAATAAAAGGGGTTATGGCATTTTATTCTACTTTTTGTATTATCCATCTGGGCTACGAGATTATTTGTATACGATTTCTACTAAAGTGTAATTTGGTCGTCTGTAGGCGTCTATTGTATGGGACGCTTGTGTATGATCTATTATATGTATATAGTAACAAGTAATTCGATATCTTTTTGGTGGCTATTTATAAAAGGAACTATATAACAATGAAACCGTCTTATCCATTTTAATAAATTAAAGGGTTTTGTAAGAATTCAGTACTACAAAAGTTATGATTGATTTAACAAAAAATGTTCTGTTATGTTATATATTATTAAAATCTAACATTCTGAGAAGCTATGTTTAAAAACTTTTTGTTTAATATATATTGATCTGTGATATGTCCGTTCTTTCAGGAAATATTAAAAATACTCTGTCACAATAATTGTAATTTATAAAACAAACAAATAATTTCGATAGCTTCAAAATTACTCACAGTGCTTAAATAACTTAAATTGCTATAATTGTCCCAAATGGTTCATACTAATATTAAATGCACCCGTATTGTAGTTTTCTATACAAAGGCTCTATTGAGTTCACTTCACACGTATGATGAACTATTTTATACATGAATTGATTTCTCTAATACTGTGTTAAACACAGAATTAAACACAACTTATTCCAACAATCTGTATTTATTAAAAGCATGTCTCAGTGTAACTTAAATAATAACTACAGAACTCAATAAATAATTAATCATAGAAATACCTCAAAATAAACTCACTACGGTGAGAGCTACGAAAATTGGTACAGGAAAATTTATTAGCGCTTCTTCAAATACAGCAGTAACAGGTCAAATATTGAATATTTACCACAAACTAAGCTTACAGATCTCGATTTAACGAATATATCTACGGTAACATAAAGTAACATAACGTAATGTTTATAAAACTTCAATAATAACATTTTTACTCATGTACTTTGAATTTTTGTTTTGAATTCTAATACCAGTAAATACACTTATACATATTGAAAATAGAGTGTTTTAAACGTTCCCCGTTTTAGTCTGACACATAATTAAATGTTATGCAAATGGAACGTCAATTGAATGGTTTTTCACAATGAGGTTTGCAAATTAATCAGTGTAATCTAATTGTAATTGAAATGATACAAATGAGGTCCAATAACATAATCTGAAATGAGGTTTTATTGCAATCATAAAAATCAAATAAAATAAGTGTATTCATTTTATTTTTTTTATAGTGGCACATGTATAATAAATAATTAATATATACATGTTCGATTTGTTGTTGCAGTTATGACACGAGAGTCTCAGGGTCAAGGGGTCACTGGTCAGATGACACATTTGGAGATCGAGCAAGATGGATCAACTTTCCAAACTCCAGTCTTCATATCCGGGATGTCCAGTCTCACGATAGATCCATATACAGATGCCGGGTCGACTTCCAAGTGTCGCCGACAAGGAATTATAGAATAGCTCTCGATGTTATCGGTAAGCGATTTAATATTAGCAATGAATATTTCTATAAATAATAAATGCATTATATGATATAATATTAAATATAAGTATCTCTTAATATATGTCCCATTATAATTTTCAAGTTAGTTCCATCAAATTATAATTATAATATTAATTTTCTATTGATAGCAGTGGAAAGGATATAAAGATTACAAATAATATTTTTATATAAATAACACGTAACAAACGAGTCTTTGTTGAATTTCAATTTCGCTAAATAGGAATATTTAAGGTTAGATGTTTTTGAAATGCTCAAAATTTCTTGTAATTCTAATTAGAATTATCTTACACTGTAGAAAACTTCGAAATTAGCGCTCTTCCAGGCAAATCAGTTGCTTTGGTATTAATGAAGTGAAAATAATTTTATATTTTCGAGATCGGAACTAATATAAAATGTATTTAACAGTAGCTCACAATGTTGATACAAACAAGGTGAGAAAAAACTCGGTACTTTTACTCGGTATACTTATTTTGGGTTCTTTGAAATAACTTATTTTATACCTTTCATGGGTGGACTGCAATAGATAATGTAACCTCGTTTCATTGATAATTTAAAATACTAATTTTAACTTTGTCAAATTATTTTACTAAATAATAATGATTTACCATTCTTCATTTTTGCTGAAGTCTGATTGGAAACTCCAAAAAACGCTTACCGCATAAAGATATAAGTTCTAGGTAATCACATAATAATTTTTATTTTTTTTTTCTCAAACTCTGAGGCTCATTGGTCTAGGAAACTTAAATATGGTACTATAAAGTTTTCTAACAAAAGTAAGTGATTTGAGAAACAGAATTCTGTTACTGATTTTAGTTTCCGTTAGTACTTTTGTAGAGTAAAAATGAATTACCTTATCAATTTATATTTGTGGATCATGTATTTGTTAGATGTTATCATAATAAATTCAATTTAATATAATAACGAATAGGTATTTGTTGTTTTTTCTAATTAACAACCCATAGTTGTTGTAAACCTACAAAGATATTTATAACCCAACGACAGAGATAAAATCCGAAACTGACGTTAGGATCGCGATAACACACGTTAAAACTTCCAAAAGCTTTATCCTTACATCGACACGAAATTAAGAGGCAACCATAATTCCTTAACAACCCCAGAAATTTTATGGCAATAAGGTAGCGTAAACGATGGGCTTGAACTTATAAATTTTCGAAGGATAAAGTTTAAGTTAACCTTCATCTTTTTAAGATTATTAAAATATATTTTTTTTTTTTGAAAAAATAGTTTACATTAGAAATCCCCTTGTTATATTTATGTATAATCTTAAACAAAAGAACTGTTTAAGATAATCTTTTTATCACTTATCTACAAGCATTTCTACATATTTAATCATTAAAGAAGTACCTGTTACCTGTAGTGCTATCAATATTTTGTTGTAATACAATGTAATGTTTAATAGAACATGTGGTTAGGGCAATAATCGAATTTCTTTGTTAAATTTATGGGCTTCTATTGTTTTATGAAGGAACAAAAGAACATAGTACAAGTAATTTGCTTTTAGAATATGGCTACTTTTATCTGCCTTTCCTTTACAAAAAACTGAACACCTATTTAAAGCTCGCGCTTATGAAAACATTTTGCTTAAAACATTTTACTAATTTATCGAAAAGTCGTACAAAAGTTGAATATCATAGAATAGAATTAGTTCAATTCATTGACGTAATTGAAAATATTCACTTTAATTTTGGTACCCTATATCCTTTTTTTTTATAAAATTAAAAATAATATATGGATATCAATATATTTTTAAGGGTAGATAAATAACTGACGAGGCAATTTTTATTTGCTCTTCCAAGTCATTTGTGACAATCAATTTATCCAAACAATGTAGGTGTATGTTTAAAATAATGAACATTATTTATATACCGCACCTGATAATACTTAACACACACAAAAAAATTACGTATCAATAATTCTAAATCTTAAAACTATGATCCACAAAAGCCATCTACGATTGAAATGAGATAGCTCAGCAATGTTCAGTGTTCTCACTTTCAATATATTTTAAACAGATCAGAAGAATGTCTCTTTAAACATTCGGGTGTTTGACAAAAAATGAAAATGTTAATCATCTATGTCAATATTATGTGTTTATTATCACTCGGAGACAGTGTACTTATTTAATTTTTTTTGTGATATACATTTATTATATGTATAAATCTTTACTATAGACCCAAAAAAAACGAAAATATACCAAATTAAAAAACAAATGGTTATAAATTTAGATGGAACAAAATCCTAACTTTAGTGATTAATTTCAGTAATAATTGACTTGTCTAAGCAGTCCTGAATACATATACACATATCTATATACATTACAGTTCCTAAGTAAACTAGTAATTTTAAATACCAAACTTTTGTATTTATATGTCCAATGTAGCTTTTAAAGTGGGAAATATTTACTTAATACTATTTTATCCTGGTGCTAATAACTAACAGTAATTGTTATGACTACACTTGCACAGGTGGCTATGCAGGTGTCACCTGATAATTTAACTACTCTCAATTATCGATTATTCAAATTGTAACTGCGCTGATATATATAATAAACTTTTTGAAATGTTCATAACTAGAATAATTAAGAAAAAATTAATAAAAACAAGTATTGATCGATAACAGTACTAATAAATATACGAGTCTGTATATACTGTATAAACTGTCTGTACTGTCTGTCTGTATAAACTAGAGCGTCTTCAAAACCTGGCTATTCGGTTTATTTACGGCCTACGTAAATATGACCATATATCTGCATTTCGTACTCAACTTAAATGGCTCCCTATCCGCCTTCGGCGTGATATGCACATCCTTTCGGTCCTTTTTAATATCCTTAATGATCCAAATTCTCCTTCTTACCTCCGCTCCCGTTTCAACCGTCTCCCGCCTCCAACACGTTCCAGACGTTCCTGTATTACTTCAGAGTTAGAAGTGCCTAGAAGTAATACAAAGTTTCTGCATAACTCTTTTTCGGTACGTGCAGCGAACCTCTGGAACAATCTCCCAAAAACCATTCAAAAGAGTCCTAACGTTAATCTCTTTAAAAAAAGACTAAAAGAGCACTTTCTGTCACAACTATTTTAAATTTATCAAATTAACTTATTTATTTATTTAAGTATTTATTTATTTATTTATTTTTCGCTGTTGTATATATATAATATTTATGTATTTAGATGTAGTATAAGTATATATGTATTTATTATTATAGTATTTATTATATCATGGATATTTATGTAAATGTTATACTATGTATTATATTAAAATTGTTTTTTTTTTTATATTATATTTTATTATTTATTTATTATTATTATTTATTTATTATTATTATTTATTATTATTATTTAGAGCATATCTAATTGCACAACTATTTATTACCCACTATACACACTAACCCTTTCAGCTGTAGGTTGGCTGGAAGAGATTTCTCATAGAAATAAGCCCGCCTTTGTCAACTTGTTCATGATGTGAAATAACTATGTAATTTTACTGTACAATAAAGAGTATATATATATTTATTAATACTGTTCCTACATTTATATTAAATAATACTCATCAGGATTTCTCTCCTATTATTTTATTACATGAATTTGTATCTGTAGAGCTTCTGGCTGTGTCACCACATATGAGATAGGCATTGACCATTATTTGCAATGAGACAGACACACTCTGATACTCCTTTTAATTTGATATTTTTACTATACAGAGAGAAATGTTAATGTTAGCGTTTGATTTAAATATTTGAAAATATTTAATTAATCAATAAAATGGAAAATATTTATTAACTGCTTTGTGTATCATTTATTCGTATAATTCTTTTAATATACTTTTGCTGTCCTTGTAAATTTTAAATAATCACTATTATTAACCTGATATATTAATACGTATATAAATTAATTTGAATTTTTCTGTCGTTTTATAAAATAGATAAATAATTAATTAAAAATCCATAATGAACTTCAAACCACTAAGAGAACATTAAATTGATATGTAACTTGATAAACTAAATATTTATATTTTACTGGTACTGATTTAAATATGCACAAAAACGTATATAATACACTACTAGTCAAAAATATGTATGCAAACTTTGGTGAAATATTAAATTGAAATCCTTTTATTTTTAAAACTATAAATCTTACAGCAAAGTATAAAATGGCAAAAAGGATCGTTAAGTGTCGACAATTCAACTTTGATACAGTTCTATTGACAAAAGCTCTTCCCTACATTAAATTAGACCAAATATAATATGTATCTTTTATATGAAGAGTAATAATTAATTAGCAATAGTAATATCACTTACATTTGAATACAAAGATTGTATATAAATACTTTGATACAAAAATAGAAAAAATACTATATTTTACTTACCGTAAAATTACAATTGTATAACACCAAAAAATGAAAAAATATATCAACAGTTATTTTCTGCAGAATAATATAATACTCGTACCACAACAGAGCTTATCTTCAAAGTCATCTGACCGATGGGCTGAGGCGTAAATTTAAATTCTTATCTCCATGAAATCAACAGGAAAACTTTACGGTTAATGTAGAGGAAAAGTTTCCTTTCCTTTTTTTGGCTACAACATTTTATTGAAAGAAATAAAGGCACATTGGACTTTGTTGAAACTTTTATTGCATTGAAGGGCCTTGTACTGGTGATCAGGTTGGGGTTTGAGACGTGTTGTTTTTTTTTTAATAAAAGCCATTTTATTAGAAATGTACCTTCGATAATTCAAAAATTAATAAAAAAGTCTTGGACTTAAAAGATTTCTGCTACATACTTCTGTACAACGTATACAAACATCTTGATTTTGTGAATACAACTCTCTTATAAATAAATCTGGATTCGACAAATAAAAGTACGGCCAAGGTCTTATCTTGTTTGCTATATAAGTATTTGTGTGTCGGCGTCTGGACTACACATGTTTTGGTATTCGTGAGTTTTAACTGCTTACGGTTTCTTAGGAATCCAACATTTTCAAAGACTATGCCATCTTTAATACTATAATGTAAATTTTTTTTTATTTATTATTCCATATCATTGAAAATCATGTCCTCTTGGTAGAGTTTGTCACTTTATCTGAAATATTGTCACTGTTTTGAAATAAAAACATTTAAAACATATCTGTTTATATTCATCACGCTATTTGATTATATGGGTTATACGAAAAAGGAAAATCAATAAGTACAAAAAATAAACTCGTGTCTCGAGAAACTGAGTGTTGTAACATCATCATTTTCAAAAATAAAACACAGAACTAATGAAGCTTATGTATAATATGAGTAACAATATACGAGCTGTTTTTCCTACCCACTTATAAAGAAAAATGGATTCAAGGCACTGTATGACAAATGAGTATTTATGAAAATAAGTGGTATTTCATATATAAAAGTTATAACATATTTAAAATTCTTCAAAAAGTAATAGTTTGTTTTAGTGATATAAAAGTTTTAATTTTGAGCTCAAAGCCAACTAAGTCAATTTATAAATTGTTTTTATTTCCTATTAAAAAAGGAGAATGGACAAGATTTTTCAATATAAAATGCCAGTCCCGCCACGGAATCGCATTTCGTGCTGCCTTGGTTCAGAATCTCCCGGTTCTGTCTTGAAAATATATTGTAATTACCACAAGTTGTCGGGAAAAACAAAATGATTACAAATAATTTTATAACTTTCACTATACTTTTTAACAAGAAGAAATAAAATATATATTTTTATAACAATGATAATGCGAATAGTCAGTGGTGGCCTAGTGGTTAAGGGGCCCGCCTCTCGTTGCCGAGGGCGCAGGTTCAAACCTGGCAAGTACCAATGTGATTTTTCGGAATCATATGTACTTTCTGAGAGTATTTAGACATCACTAACATACGGTGAAGGAAAACATCGTGAGGAAACCTGGACTTATAGTTTCACAATTATAAGTTTGAAATCACCAACCCGTCTTGAGCAAGCGTGGTGATTAATGCTCAAACCTTCTCCATGTGAGAAAGAGGCCTTGCTCAGCAGTGGGCTTCTGATAGGCTGATGACAATGCGAATATAATTAAATGAATACTATTATATTATTATTTTTTGATTTTTCTAAACTAGTTGATTAGAAAGTGGATAATAAATGTCATAACATAAAATATTTAGTTTTAAACACGTTATTAATCATAACGTAAGTCGAAAGAAGTCAAAAGTCGAAAAGAACGAAATTCTTAATCTTAAAAATGATAAAGAGCGTGAAAAACTTTCATTTTTAAACTGTTAAAACAGAGAGAACTTTTATTTTCATATTATCGCATTGCAAAGCTCCAGTTTATCTTTAGCAAAAAAAGGTCTATAGTACAACCTAAGGTCATTTAAGAGTGAAAAAATAAATTATTTAATGACTAAGTATAAAGCCTTATCTTTAAAGTTTTAAGGAATTATGTATAAATAGTTTAATATAATATTATAATTAGTTTTATTTAATGTGTTTGATACTTTTAAAAATTCTGTAAAGAACAATTAAAAGAATTCTGAGAATTTGTAACATCGTCAGCCTATCAGACCCCTCTGCTGAGCAAAGGCCTAATCTCACATGGAGATAAGAAGAGAGAAGATTTAAGCATACCTCACCAGGCTTCAAGACGGGTTGACGATTTCAAACTTATAATTTGAAATAATAAGACCAAGTTTCCTCTCGACGTTTTCCTTCATCATCTGTCCCTGGTGTCTAAACACTCTTAGAAAGTACATATGATCCGGAAAAATCACATTGGCTGACAAACCAGACAAATACATTATTATAGCAATTGTTTAGCATAACAAACGTAACTTCCTGATTCTTCCACAGAGCTACCCTTGAAACCGGTAATCTTTGATGAGTTCGGCAAAGAAATAACCGGAACTGCCGGCCCTTTCAACGAAGGGAGCGACTTTAAGCTTATTTGCTCGGTGAATGGGGGTGAGTACATAATTTGCCTGCATTTCCTGCTGTTTCAAAATTGTATACAAAGGAAAGACAAAAAATATCAAAAGATATTTTTAATCAGTGTACCTTATATTATATGACGTAGATTTAATCTGATTTATATATCACCTTCTATACTTGTTATTGAAAATACAATAATAATTACAATTTTCAAAATATTTGTTTAGATTGGTACGAATGATGTGGTAGGAAATAAAATTTTCCTTTAAGTGATAAGTTGTATAAGGGTTACTTTGACAAATAAGTAATGTCAATCATGTAGGATGGGATTTTTGTAAACAATTTTTGATTAATGAATTTCTATTTTACAAATTTTATAATTTTTTCCTTTCTTCATTATATTATTGTTTAGTAAAATATGGAAAAGATAGAGTATAGTATACTTTTTTTTTACTTTAGATGTATACTTTTTTTTGACTTAGGCAATCCTACGCCGAGAGTACAGTGGTTGCATGGTGAAAATATAGTTTCTTCACTGAGGGCGAATGAGATGTCAGGGGGTAACACCAGGTCATTGACCCTCTTGGTCAGAAATGCAAGCCGTTCACACTTGTCCTCTGTGTACACATGTACAGCAGATAATACACTGATATCTCCGCCACAACGGGTTTCCGTGAAGGTAGATCTGTATTGTAAGTATATACATATAGAGTCATGAGTTATCGATCATAAAATTTCACGTATGATATAGAGAAAATAGACACTATATACAAATTTAAAAAACAATAATGTGCGTTACAAAGACTAATGTTTGAATTATAGCTCTATTGTATGTCTTAATGACTGCGTTTCGTCTGATGAGTGAGAGAACCGGTTGCACTTTCTTTTTTCCCATCGTTTTCTCTCCTTCTGACACAATCAAAGGTGACAACGCAACCGCAAAATACTTTTGCGGATGTCTATGGGGGTTAGTAGCACCTCCGTCAAGTAAGCCGTCTGCTCGTTTGCCCTCTTTATCATATAAAAAAATATATATTATATTACCTATTTTAGTAAGTGTTTAAAATATATGAACCAAATAAAACCCTGTAGGCTCCATTAGGTAGATAAAATCATAAAGGTAGGAAAAACACATTACATAATATTTTAGAGAAGTTTCGTATATAACGTTAGACATAAAACAAAAAAACTGCAAGCTTTAATTATGAAATCAATTTAGATGTAATACTTTTAAACAAAAAAAAAATACGGGAAATTAATGTACTGTTAAACTTGGTTTTTCTTTTTAACAATATTTATCACAATTTCTGAAATTGCGGAGGAATTTTTTTCAACATGCTGTTTTAAAGTAATAAAAATAAAAACTTTAGTTTTGCAACGCATTCATCCTTTTTTTAATTTTCTTGTAAAATATGCACTGTATAAAAAACCCTGTCTAATTGAACAAGAAATGATCGTCGAAATCCGAAAATTCCGGCACCCATAAGTCGTTTGGATGGATGGAAAAGGTGTTTCAGCGTCAAAGCTAATGGAACGATGTCGTTTCTGTCTTTAGTAAGGACAAGAGTAAATTGCTTTTAAATTATAGTTGTATCCAGTTTCAAACAAACAAAAATAAACAATTGTAGTCAGTGACAGTAGTTTTTCCTATATGTTATACGAAAGACTAACCCCTAAGATCCTTGAAATATAACAATATATTATTTTTAAGGAAAGACTTCTAATAACTATTTTATTTATTTTTTCCTAGAAGGAAATTAAGGTATTGTTGAAAAAAATTCTACTTTATCACCTGCAAAGGGAATTCAGTATTTCACGTTCTTTAGATGTAACGTGCTTTGTGTTTCAATTGCGATTTGTTTTGAATGAAATATTATATAGTGAAGGTAAAGCAAGGACTTTTTATTTTTATTTGAACTTAGCTATTTGTTCATCATATCGTACGAGTATCAAAATAAGAATTAAAAATTGTCAAATTTTATTGCTACTGACAAACAATTTATATAAATTAACTTATAGAAGTTTAAAATTGAAATTATACTTGTTATTCTAGGCACTTTAAGGATTTTAAATTTTAATGTAAATACACATTTGTGCTTCAAGTACTTAATTCAGGTGCTGCTTTATTTGGACAAAATAATACAACTACAGAAGCATTTTCTGTAAGTGTGGAGTGAAAATTTCAACCGTGCAAATATTTGTATCTTTAAGGAGTTTTATGAAATAGGAAAATACATTTTTGTTGAGATTTTTTTTCTTCTAGTTTAAAGCTTAAGCAAGGTTTAATTTTTCTCCGATTTGTATTAATTCAAATGATTATAAATGCATATTGGTTATTAAAAAACGAGATCTAAGATTTTCGCGAGTACACATTTAAATGAAACTAATATTTTCGGATTTTACTTCGAATATGTCTTTTTTAGGTGATACAGTGTAAACTCTATTTAACGACACTGAAGGGACCGTGCATTTTAGTGCGTTATAGAGAGTTGCCGTTAAATAGAGGTAAGAAAAATCAGAATTAGAAAAAGACAAAGTTTGGTTCAGACTACTGTTAGTACTTATGTACATAAAAAAGAATGTTATAAAGTCTGTTGTTTTTGTTTGACGTGTTTTGCTGCACCAGTAATATTGTTGTATTTTTTACGTATTTTATTAATATCTTGCGATATTGAGGCATATTGGTGAAGAACGAATTTCTTAGAAAGTTTGGTATGCATGATTACGACAGTGGAGTTTATTGCGGGCTAGGATAACAAAGCGACAAAAAAACGTACACAGCTGCGCATTTTTTACTAATTTTAGCAACTTAAAGGGTACTTTTTATTACTTAATTTTGTCGTTATTGAGAGTGGCTTTGACGCTATATAGAGTGTATCATTGTATGGTAGACAAGTTAAACCAACCAAAGTCAAATGATTTCGACGCTTTAGAGAGTTTGTCGTTAAATCGAGTGTCGTTATATGGAGTTTACACTGTATTTTGACACATGTTGGTATGATGTCATGATCCCGGCATCTCTTGAGGAAATTCAAGGATGTTAATAATCTAGCTTTCTACGCGAAGTAAAATCCGAAAATATTAGTTTCATTTATTAAAAAACGATTTGTTGGTATCATATTACAATAGTATAACTTATCAAATTGGAAAAAAATTCAAGTGTGATTAAAACTATCTAATTTTTGTCTATGATTCAAATAAGTCACTATTTATAAATAAGTTACTATTTATACTTAGTCTTGATTTTTAGAGATGGCTGATTTAGATCATTCACAAAGCGATGGGCATTAATATGAAACATTTCTTTGTCAGTGCGGCCACTGTTAGTCGAAATCTTATCGAGAGAACAACCATTGTCAGTGGGTAGACAAGCCGAGCTTTGGTGTAAGTCAACCGGTGCAAGACCTCCAGCAGTGGTCACTTGGTGGCTAGGTGGCAAAAAACTTAAATCTATAACTAAACATCAGGTGCACTTATTACACAATTAAAAAATTTAGTAGAACGAATGTAAACTCCACATTATGCAAAACTTTCTTCTCTTTTATTTAAAATTATTTTATAAAGTCACTTTTTAATAGGATTTAGAAGAAAGGAACGAGACTCATTCTTTGTTGAAATGGACACCTTTAAAGGAACAAAACGGAAAAATACTCACATGTAGAGCAGAACATTCCAAGATCAATAGTTCAATGATTGAGAGCAAATTGGTGCTTAATGTTTATTGTAAGTATGCTTGTTTTGCATTCTTTTTTATTTGCATTTAGTTGTATATTTGAGGACACTTACAGAACATTAAAAATATTATTTTTATTATATACATGTATTGAGGTATGAGGTATAAACCTTATCATAACTGTGAGCTTATGATATAAAGTATATTTTTCCTCCTTATTTATTTGAAATTTCATCTCGTCTAGCCGTGATCACGGTTGATGTAAAAAAGATATATTTGAAATTAAATGAAACTAATATTTTGAGGATGTATTAAGTGACTTTTATTTTTTATTATAAACTTCTAATACTAATACTCCCGACGTTTCAGTTACTTTTTAGCAACCGTGATCACGGGCAGACGAATTTGAATGTCTGTCAGTTGGTCTGTTTGTTTAGTCTTGTTGGTCTTGTTACACACCGCCATCGATTTCTGAATTTTCTGGCGTACCGCTCTCGATTCCGACAGAATGAGTGTGGTCACAGATATGGGATTTTATATTTTTAAGAAGGGGATCCCAGGTGTTTGATGGATTCCAGCCATCTTCTCTATTGAAATTGTGATGTTTTTTAATTTCAATAGCCTCGCGGATTAACCTCGGCATATACCTGTGTTCACGAACGAGGATATGTAGTTTATCAAACCAAATGTAGAGGCCTGGTTTGTCCTATATGTGTTCACACACTGCTGACTTCGATGCGTGCCTATTTTTGATATCCGAGATGTGTTTTTAAACCTTGTACCGATACTTCTCTTTATTTGTTCAATGTATGACAAGCCTCAGTCATAATAGAGTTTGTATACACCCGCTTGTTGTAAAGAAATGGTATTCTTGATTGGTTTCAAGAATTGGCTCACTTTCTTGTGTGGTTTGTATATAGCCTTGATCGAAATCATCTTCAAGATGTTGCCTATTTAGTCAGTAACTCCCTTCACATGCAGTTGTATTGCAGGTTATCGCTCAAGAGTAGGTAGGTAGGTAGCTTCGAATGGTACTTGCGATGCTGGCGAAGCACGAACAGGTTGTTGATGGTGAGAGCATGTTTTAAATGCTGCAGCTCGGCTTCTAGGTGGTCCGCATCACAAAGATGTTGTGCTCTCTGTAATAAAGATTTGTCAACAGTACCTAACTGTGTAGGGTGGTGGTATGAGTTACCATTGAGTTACCTATCCATATGTGTGTGTTTCCTATAAACAGTACATTTCAAAGTATTGTCAGGATTCTTGATGGCAAGTATATCAAAGAAAGCTTAAGAATTATTTGCCTCTAATTCCTCCAAACCAAATACTGCTATCGATAGAATTAAGATGGTTCAGAAAAGCAGATGTTTTATTTTTATTTAATATTGTGAAGGTGTCAACTACATAAAGTTTATATATAAAAGGTCTTATAGGGGGAGAGCACAGGGCTCGCATCCAGAAGTCTTCCATGAATATATCAGTGACAGCGGGGGAAATCGGCCAACCCATTGCAACTCCATCTACTTGTATGTAGAATTCATCCTTCCACATAAGATAGCCAGATTTTAGGCAATGCTTTAACAGTTCTGCATATTCAATAGTCATATGTTTATCCTTTAACTTACTTCTTATAATCTCAATGCAGTCAAGAACACGTAGATTAGTGGATAATGACCGTACATCGAAATTGATTCGGTTTAATAAACTACATATCCTCGCTCATGAAGACAGGTATAAACCGAGGTTAATTAACGAGGCTAATGAAATTAAAACCACCCCAAGTTCAATAGAGCAGATGGCTGGAATCTATCAAACATCTGGGATACCCTTCTTAAAAAAATAAAATCTCATATTCGTGACCAAGTCAAAGGACCTCGGGACATTCTGGCGGCATCCGGAGCGGTACGGACGAAAATTAAGATGGCTGTGAGTGATACATAACAAGACCAACTGACAGACATTCACATCTTATGTGCCCGTGATCACGGTTGCTAAAAAGTAACCGAAACGTCGGGGTTATGTACTTTTTTTTTCAAAAATAAAGTGGCGTGGTAAATTAAACATTAGTTTAATTAAAATGAATAACCTCCCGAAAATCGTACAGCTAATATTAAATAAGTCTTGTACGTGAATACGTACAACTAACTAATTAACTTATGTAATTGAATAGTTAGATGAGGCGTTAAGTATAATAATATAACATTTATATTGTGAAATAACTTCAATCCCATCACTTCTTACTCTAAGTTAAATGTAAAGCCACTCCTGAAATAAATCTACATGATTTTTTTCATTTTTATCATATGCTCTTAAATAAATAGAGACTGACAGTTTTATAGGAAACACTATTTCAATTGCTCTTTTTATTTTGTTTTCTTTTTTATATATTGGCGTATTTTGGTATGCTTTTGGATGGAACAATTTTTTCCTAGGTATTATTCTGTTACAACTATGAAGCTCTTTTATTTTTGCATTAAAATCCAGTCAAACCTATTTGACACAGAGAGGGTTTGTTACAAGGAGAATAGAACTCTATTTAATTTAATATAGAATGAATAATTCAACAGATATGCCGGTTGCTACAATGCATCTAGGGGCCAAAATGAACCCAAACGATATTGAAGAAGGCGACGATGTGTACTTCGGTTGCGAGGTTGATGCCAATCCCCCTGCTTATAAAGTTATGTGGGAACACAACGTGAGTTCAAATTTATTTCGCCTTTCTATTTTATTATTAAATATTTTCCTTTTTTAAGATGTAAAATAAAAATCAGCGGAAAGAAAACAGTTCTACCGTGACATATATGATTTAAACTTTGATTTTTTTTTAAATTTAGGATTATAAATAGCAAAATATTTGTCAGAATTATATTTTTGAGTTCACTAAAAAGCTGCATAGAGATGTGCTAAATTAAAAGTGTGTCTAAAGTTAATTATAATAAAAATTTTAAATTCATGAAAGTGCTTAAACATTTTAAAATGAAGTTTTCCTTTAATTTCCATAATGTTATATGCTATTTTATACACAAAATTAAAAATAACTATTTTTATTTATTTATTTATGTACTAAAAGTAGTAAATACATTATTATAAAAGAAATGTGATGTACAAAGGATAACTTATCCTTAAAAGAGATCTCTACCAGAAACCCTTTTGATAGAGGAACTAACAAAACGAATGTCGAGTAGGTACAATAAAAAGAGTGAAAGAAAAAATAAAAAAGAGGGATATATGTACATATATATGAATACAAACAAAATTATTATAGTCTAAAATTTAGATATTATACATAAGTAGATATACACAAATATCATAAATAGATAAACATTACATATTATACTAAGGTAAAAGTTACAGAAGATTTCTCTAAAGTCGATGTTTAAATACAACTGCACTTAGACTTACTTTGTAAACAGAAGGTGGGAGTGAGTTCCAAAGTCTTGCGCCTTTGACGGAGAAGGATTTACGATAAAATTTTCTATTAAAGGTCCCTCCTTTAATAGAAAATTTTATCAAGATGATTTTGTGTAACACAAGAGCGATTAGGAAGGATTCTAGGGTAGGAAAATTTAAAACGCTTAAATAGGTGCGGGGGAGAAGAATATTTGAACATATTGTACATTCGTTTTAAAACATGAATATTCCGACGGAAGCGGATAGAGAGGCACTTTAAGTGTTTAGTTTTTACTTCGACAGCTTTGAATGCATATCTGAGTCGTCTGTTCATTCTGCGTTCGAATTGAGTTTTATGACTTAATTACAGAAAAAAATTAAGAAATTTGCTATTAATTTTGTTTTAAAGTTATCTGAATCTGGCAACCCTGACGAATATTTTACTACGTATCACTCTTTCTTATTGCATCCCTATCTTATGTTTTTACAGTATTTTCAAGTATATCATAATTTTATTTGTTTAAAGTATTATACGAATAAAATTAAACCACCAGGGTATTCCGCTTCATCACAATCCTGCCAAAGGAGTAATCTTAACTGGCAACACAAACCTTGCACTACGTAATGTGTCACGACACCAGGCCGGTAACTATACCTGCACTGCTTCGAATGTTGAAGGAGATGGAAAGTCGCTTCCTGTGCCAATGCAAGTCGTTTGTGAGTTTTTTATTAAATCTTTACAAAACATATTCATGACAAATACATGATAATAGAGTGACAAATAAAAAAATAGCTGATTTTAAGAACACGATTAATAAAAATATACTTTCGTTTTTAAATAATCATATTATATAGAAATTTTAATTGATATGTGTATACTTTATTAAATTTTAATACGTTTTGTGCAGATAGACCCATATGTCGATCTAAAGATATGAAAATAATAGGTGCAGCTTTACAAGAAGCATCGAAAGTAGAATGCGAGGTAGATGCTTTCCCTCCCCCAAACACGTTTGAGTGGGCACTTAATAATTCTGCTGGTTCAATAAAGATTGACCCTGTAAGTAGGTCTTTGATCTTTATAAAAGATTTAATTACATTTAATTTGTTCTTAATGTACTACTATGTTTCATATTGATAATGTAAGAGTTTATCTACGAGATTTAAAAAAATGTATTGATTTTACATTTATAAACCTTTCATAATTGTAGTGATATAATTTCAAGTTTGTCATACTAAATTACTTAAACACCCTTTTGTTCAAAGAATCCCTTTGATAGGGAATACGCTAGTAAAAAGAAAATATATTTTGAGACTATACTGATTGAAGTCACGACAGTGTTTAACTTTATGAATACTCCGATGTTACCCTTATAAAAATCTTGGGCGAAGGATTACTTCTGCCATTTTTATGAGATACACATAAACGATCTTTCTTAGTATATATAACATTTTGTGTTTTTGGATGTTTATTTTAAAGAAGTAAATAAATCAACAGTAGGTATATTTTTGCATATGATTACCAGTATCAGCTTATTTTAAAACATGAGAGGTGGAAATAATGTAAAAGTGTTACAAAGGAAAATATTGCTAGTAATTTTTGTATTTTGTTAAAGATACTGATTTATAATAGTATTTGGTATGAGATGAAACCTCTTAACATCGAATGGATTCACCGTGCTTGTGCCGGGTCCATCGTGTTGCAGGGAGAGGAGCTGCAACTGTGCCTGAGACTTGCGACCCAGGTGTAGGTTTAAGATGGCCCCTATCTAACGAACATTAAACGCTTACCTTCACTGTCCAAGCTCCTCTCTCTACCTAAGAACATTTGAAAAGAACCTTCTAAGGTTACCTTTAAAGTACGTTCCAAGAATGAATTAATGTCCAGAACAAGCCCAAATCTTTTAGTATCAAGGTTGTAGAGAGATTTCGCTGTTATACCTCTCGCTCCCACTTCTACCGCGTACAAATCCACGAAGACCCTTTTTCGAGTTAGTTCGTTAGTAAGTTCAAAATATTTATTGACCTTGATGGCATGGTCTTTGGGAATGTTGGTTTCCCAATGAACCGTTAATTCTACCATCACAACGCGCTTCAAAATTCGCGAATACATAAATATGTCTGATTTGGATGCCGAAGCACAAATATTCTTGGGGATTTTGTATTGTTTTTCATACGTGTCCATCATTATTGTCTAATACGAAGTCGCTTTAAGGATAGAGTAAGGCTTGACGTCTGTTTTTTTTTTTTATTCTTCTCTCACAAAATCTACTGATCGCTTGTTGGTGGTTATTTCCCTATGCGCTCTGGCTACTGAAAGACTAACCGCTTCATTAGTATGAAATGTACGTAGAGTTACTTTTCATAAAATTTATTAAAACATTCATAATAACAAAAGCATTCTCTTTCAATTAAGCTAAGCACTTATTTTTTTAGAGAAACTATAAATGGATTTTCGTTTTCAAAGGAACGCTTCACCGTCAATGGCCAAGCTGGAAAGTCGGTATTAACGTATGTCCCAGTATACGACACGGATTACGGAAAGTTGTCGTGTCGTGCAATAAACCTAGCAGGGCAACAATTGATGCCATGCATGTACACTATACTCCCAGCAACTAGACCTGATCCACCGTCAAACTGCTCAGTATATAATCTAACCGATGATTCGCTGGATTTGACTTGCCTTGCGGGTAGGTTTTTATTTTAATACGTTTTACAATTTTTAAATAAAGTTTATAACATTCTATATACATATACTTCTTTATTTTGTAGGGTACGAAGGAGGCCTTCAATGTATCTACGTAGCAGAAGTCTGGGCTAATGAAGGCTTAGTAAAAAATTCTACGAATGGCGCTACTGTATGGAATCTTAGAAGACTTGGCGCTAAAAGACATTTAACCATTGTGGTATATGCCGCAAATACAAGAGGGAGATCTGAACAAGTCACATTGACAGTAGAAACTGCTCCACAATTATCTCCTAGAACGGGTATGTCCTTGTTTTCTTCTTATATTAAATTGTGTTTGGTTGTATAGGTGATTTTTTTAACAATATCAATAGTAGAAGACTTCTAAAGGATATTAATTCTAGAAAATCATTCTCAGATAATGAAAACAATTTTGTCTTTGAATACCTTATAAGGTTATATCTTAAGAACTAAGATTCTAGACAAATATAATCTGGACATAAAGCTTTAGTCATACTCCGTTGCTTTTTCTCGTTGCATTTGCTCCAAATAAGTTTTTAAAACCACTTTCATGGTCTGTAAAATTTAGAAACTTTGTTTAAGGTGGTTTTTATCAGAGTAAAAGTAAATTAAAATATGTAGTTGTAGTAAATAAAAATAAACTTCGTATAATTTAAAAGCTACAAACACAAAAAAGAATATCATAAATTATATAATTTTATCATATTATTTTTTGGTTGTAGCATTAAAACTGGTTGCTTTGTACCCTAAAGCCCTAACAGTTTGAATAAACTTAAACTTTCCATAGTTTTTATTTATAACATGAAATTTAACCTGTGCTAAAAATCAATAAACAATTTTCTTAATAAAATATCCATAAAATATGTACAATCTTCTTGTAATACTTATATTATGATAATGTCAATTTTATATACTTTTTATTATTAAGTTGAATGCTAACTTTATAAACAATGAAATAAAATGTTTTAGTCATTTTATCAAGGTTAAATAATCTTATCTGGCAAGAGGCCGGTTTATATATATTAATTTTGAGACCGACTAATGATTTCAACATTCAACTTTAATTATTACAGATCCCAAATCATGAAGTTGAATATCTTAGTTAATTTACAGATAGTTTTTAATGCTAATATATTGGATATTGAAATACGTAATACTTTTAGCTAACGTCTTTTACTTACGCTATTAATACAGGGTTTTCAATTAGTATTAAGAGTATTAATAGTGTTTATATATTTCAAAAAGTAGTTATCATTAGCTTTTAATCTTGTTTTTTTTTTAATTTACGATAAAATCTAAATATAAACCTAAAAACTCTTACAATTAAGTTTCTAAATACATATTACATATTTTTAATCTTATTTTTGTATAAACTTAATATATTAGAATGTAAATAAGAATGTTTGAAACGATTCTCACTTTTTATGTTTTGATGAGTATTAGTTTTATACTACAAATGAATTACACATTAAGAATTATTGGACGAATGAGATGTAATATACTTCACACTTAGATAACATTTTTTTTTTTTTTTTTTTTTTTTTTATAACGAGGAGAATCTTTCAAAGACTTCCCGCCGCGGGGGAAAACACGACGGGGGCGTGTGGGATTTCCACCCACTAAACTCCTCGGCGTTCTCTGCGCTGTGCGTAGGCTAGTGAGCGGGAACGGCAAGCCATACTTCCGCTCACTACGCACGAGTCCCATGGACTCCGTCTTCGGCAGGGGTCACAGTGGCTTCACCACACTTCCCCTCCGACTCACTACGAAAATAGAAACAAATTAATAATTACTTATTTATTTATTTATTTATTACAATTATATTGGTATTTTTTACATTTATATCTAAGTTTTCATTGTCTCATAAACCAATATTGGTTTTTCTGTAAATTAAAAATAATTAATTTAAATTGCTATAAGTATCTCTGCAATAAGTTTTAATTACATATTCATTATGTACTTTAAATAATATATGAAATTAACTCATTTTGTTTATGATTTTACAGCTTTAGTTAAATATTACGTTTAATACATACACTTATTTTTATATATAAATTTTGTCAGTGATGATATGTTGTGTAATTCTGTATTATAAATGTACTATTGTTCTATTGCTTATGCTTTTTACATCCTAACATAATATGTAAAAAGATGGGAGAGATAAACACATGTCAATCTGACACATTGATCCAATTTAAGGACCAGTTTACTTAAAGCAATATCACACTATCCTGTGATTATTTACGATATTCACGAAGTTAAAACTCCGCATTTTTAACGAATAGTCAACAATGGTGGCTTTTCGAAAATAATTTATTTTTCATATGGCATTTTATGATATTTTTTTTGTAAATTACAAATATTATAGCATTCTCTTTTACAAAATCAAACCCTTCTTAGTTAAATGTGCATGTTTTAAACAAATGACGCTTTACAAATATCATGGCTTGCTTAAATTAAACGTTGTTCCATCGTCATGAAAATAGCAATTTATCTTAAATTTCAGTATCAATTTCAGTACTTTATTGGATTTGAATAAGAAGGCTATCAAATAACGTCACCTACTAATAAATTAAATATATTAAAATATAACCTACTTACTGCAAGATTTGTAAAATAATGTGCTATTAGAATAATTAAAAGTCTAATAAATATGAATAAATAAATTTAAGCTGAGTGAAAACTACCTTCAAAGTTTAAGAAATTGCCGTTTCCAAGGTTAAATATTTTTATCAATACATTTTTTTGGATTATAGAGTATGTGATATAATATTATATAAAATTGGAAGGCGTTTGTGAGTCTCTTAACGCGTAGACCAATTAGTTCTATCCTATATCAGCAAGAAAGCTATGAAGGTAGAGTAGAAAATGCTGAGCCTTAAAACAGACATATTAAGAGTCCCCTTTTCTTACACAACGTTTTGAAATAAATACTTTTTTTTTGAATAGTTTAATCTTATTTATATAATATGTATTTTATTACATATATTTCTATATAAAATATAAAATTTGATTTTTTAATTAATTATCAATTGGAATAGAAAATAGTCATTTGAGGTAAAAATGGAATTGTTGGGGAAAAACTTCATGTGTACATTTATATATTTTAAGTTATTTAGACAGAACAGCAGGTAAAAAGAAAAACCACCTTGCAAAATATTACGTAATGTTCAAATTGCAACAACAAGCTCCCGTAAAATAAATTTTCTTGTTTTCTATTTTAGTATTATCATAAAATTTGGTGTAACTAAAGACAGTCATAAATTTTCAAGAATTTTTATAACCGTTTCATAGAAGTTGTAATTTTGTACAATAAAAATAATTGATCTTAGACTTATTCATGTTTATATTTTAACATGCTTATTTTTGAATTAATCAATCTTCCTCTACATATTTGATAGACCGTATGAAGAGTATTGCAATTACGTTGCAAGTCAAACATCATTCAATCTGTTATATGAATGTAGCAACTTGACAATCATAACGTATTATATTTAGTTTATATAC